ACTTGCGACCAACTCGACTTGCGATCAGAGTCACGGAACGGATTAAGTTCGTAAGTAGAGGTACCACTGTATTGAAAACCTGACAGTGGTTTCTCTTCTCTTCCCTCTCTCTTATACCAAAGAGACTTAAGGCAGGGTGACTTTAAGTTTCCTTCTCACATTTTATTACTCTCCCTGACTGGGCTCATGCTTTTTGCTAACCATCTCCATATCTCCTCCAAGGTCATCTCTATGCTCCTCTACACAAACCTGCTCTTAATTGATTTTTTTTGTGGTGATAAAGTATGGGGGAAGTGATGGGGACCAAAAAAACAAAACAACCCCTCTACAAATGGTAATTGGCATCACCTGAATGGAACTTAGTTATTTCACAGCAAAGGGCTGGTTTGAAAACGCTTCTGGTCTCCCTCTTGACTTTCTAGCCAGAAGAAGCTACTGGTGAGTTTGCAAAACCCAGCAACTTTAGAAGAAAGTATGGACTGGTATCTGCAACTACACTGGGTTAATGAATAAGCCAGACTTTGCTTCAACCTTCTGAAAGTACCCAATTATTTAAATCAATTCAAATGTACTAGATATTGAATTGAGCCAATTTTTTTACTCTATCCTCTTTGTTCCCTGCAAATTCCAACCCCCTCTTCTCCATCCCTTCTAGGACAGAAAACAGACAACAGAAATCACAGAGAATCAACAAAATAAAGTTCTAAGCTAAAATTTGGTAGGAAAATTGCTGGTTTTCAGCAGCATACTTTTTTCTTTTGCTAAGTTATAAGGGGTAGAATGAGTACACATGTAGCCATTTCAATCTCTCAAAATGTCAGTTGTACTTACTCCAGCGACATTGCTGTATCATTCCTCACAACCCCTGCAGACCTCAGCTGCAAAAAGTCTGCCTACCACTGGCCTATAGAAGTATTGCTAGCAACAGTGTTAATGCAATTTAGGGGATTAAAGCAGCCAATAAAATAAACATGAAGTAATCTTTCTGAAAAAGAAACAGACTCACTTTTCAACATAAAAGGATTCCAGTTTAGAATACCAGAACCCAAATCCTTTCTTTCTCATGAACTCAGTTACCTCAGGATTGGACTTCCTAAGAAAGAAAGAAAAAGAAACAAATTGCATTTCTTATAATATGTTACTAAAGTAGTAGTGGAATAGAATGGATTTTGCACTCTAATGTTCCTTTTTAAATGTTCATCCCACATATGAGCAGGGATCTAAACCAAATAATGCCAGTGTGAGCAACGCCCTCTCTGACTTGTGACATAAGCAAGCTCAGGCCACCGTTCAGGCAGAATAAAGCATCTGCAAATCCCACTGATTTGCACCAATTTTTGGGCAGGCCAATCTTAACATCAGAACATTCAAGGCATAAGCAATTGTCCTATACAATAGTCTTCCACTGGCAGTACTGAAATGTACCTGCCTTTGGGGGATTTTTTTCTTTAAATAAATGTTTCTTCCTACTGTACACAATAGGGTGGAAAAAATTGAAATGGTGGAAGGGTCTGGTCTGATCCTGTCTCCCTTCTGACATTTTGAGAAAGAAAGAGGGAAGGAGAAATAATACTTTTATCCACAGGTTCTTCCATGTTGAAGTCAGAAAAACTGTTAGAATTCTAAGCACTAGTTCACAAGCTAATAGTCTGGGCCAAATTCCAAGAATAGCCTCACATTTTGTCTAAGAAGCCAGGATGGGGTATTAGTTTTCTGTAGAAAGTCGGAGGTTCAGAAAAGCCAAAGACTACAGATCTAAAGGGTCCTCTGGCTTTTTATCCATTTATTTAGTTCAATTTTGGCACTGCCCAACTCCAGAGCCTACATCCCTTTCATCACAGTTAACAATTAGGTAATTGCATACATATGTACCATATATACTTGCCTATAAGCCTATCCGCTGATAAGCTGGCCCTCAAATTTTTAACCAAAATACCACAAATAAACCAACCCGCATTTTTCATGGTATTTTAGTTAAAAATTCAAGGGTGTGCTTAGCTGTGGATGGGCTTATACATGAGTATATATGGAAGATACCGTTACTTTATAAAAGTAGTACTGTATATACACGCGGATAAAGTGAACCCAATTTTGGGGGTGCATTTTGGAGCCTAAAATTCTCAGCTTATTTGCTAGTTATACATGGTATATGTTTTAGAACTGTAAAATGGTTTGGATTCTATTAGGAAGAAATGCTTTGGAAAGCATCTACACCTCATTAAAAATGCTGCATGTTTCCAGGATCACATGGCTGCAGTGGAAGCCTTCCTTCAGCAGCTGTGTAATCCTGGACATTGACAGGGCTACTTTAATGAGGTGCAGACAGATGCTGCATTAATACTACTGGACTTTCCAAAATATCTCTTCCTAATCAAGTCCAGAGCATTGTACAACCCTAATATCTTTTTAGTGTTAGTGTTACACTGTACCAACAACTGAAGTCCACTTCATCTCCTCCTAAGTGGATACAGTCATCAGGAAATACGGTGCTAACTTCTTTGAATAATTTCATCATAAAATCATAAGTTGCACTGAAAATGGGGTTTACAGGTCCATAAGAGCCGCTTGGATGCATTCCATTGTAGCAGGGTGTGAGGATATCTTTTTCCCAGTATATAAAGGAAAGACAAAAATAAAACAGAAGATTATGCTATTTTATTCTACATGAACTTGCATTTCTTATGTTTTAAAAGCATTTACAAGAACTAAATGCTTTTTTTCTTTGTAATGGCCAAGAACATAATCCTTTCCAGTTGAATAATTATTGGCTGAGTATCAGATTTGGAAAAGAATGACTCATAAAACCTTTGCATTCACATGATATGGTTTAACTATTTATACAGCACTTTTGCCCTGAACTCAAGGCTATAAGGGTTTCCATTTTCTGAGTCTCTTAATGATAATCACTGACACTGGTAGAAATGTGTGTCATAGAAATAACTTATTAACCCTCTAGCTCTAGGGTGGGCAATCTTTTGGTGGCTGGAGAATTCTTTTTGGAGGGCAGGGCAAAGCCAACAGCGATATTTGTTTTTAAAACTATGTTAATACTATTTTATGGCTCATGCTACAGTTTGTGTTCCTTCTTCAAAATGACAGAGAAGTCTTACATCTTACAGCTTTCAGAAATGATCAGAGAGCTTTGCACTGGGCTTCAGGAACACAGGTTGACTATCCTGGTCCAGCTTAATACTGCAATCTGCATATCTGGGGCCCTGCTGCTAGGAATCCTGGGAACTCACATTTAGACATCTGGGCCTATATCAGCTTTTCACAGCTGATATAGCTATATATCATATAGGCCTATATCAGCTTTTCACTATATCAGTTTTTCATGGGAAAGCTATGATGCTATTTTTCTTAATGACAGAGTTTATTATCAATATAATTTGTTTTAAAAAATCTGTATTAGCATACAAAGGGAATTTTGTCACAAAAACGATAATAATAATTTATTAAACTTGTATGCTGCCCTACTCTCAACGACTCTGGGCAGCTCACAACAATAAAAAAAAATTACAATAAAATCAATAAAACATAGAAGATAAACATAAAAGTAGCTGAAAACCTACCTATTGTCTTTATTATAAGATATTTAAAATCTGTACTGAACACATCAGAATTAAATAAATTATATATAGTGGGGCAAGACCTGAATTATGTAACAACTGAAATTAAATTTAAATAATATTTCACAATAAATACATATTTGCATTTAACTACTGATTTTTCTTTTTTACCTTTTTGATTTATATTGTAAGCAAGTAGTATTTTCAGTTCAACAGCCTTTCAAAATGATACACATTTTACCTTTTCTCCAAGACTGAGTATGTCCTGGGGTATCAAATTCTGGGATAACTCTAATCCCTCGTAACCGAGCATATTCTATGACACTATGGACATCAGTGGGAGTGTAAATGTGGTTGGGGGAATATGCACCCTGTCAAAATAAACAAGAGGCAGAATTTTTTTCTAATACTCCAGGAAAACGTCAACAAGTGAGAAGAGTGGGTTAAATCTAGGAGCAACATCATATTACTGCAGTCAAGCACTGGGATATAATCCAGATACAAGTTCTTTTTTGAATGAAATCAAGCACAAACCACTTGTACCTTTTTCTGATGATGATTACGCTGAGACTGAGACAAAGTGACCTACCAAGGTCATTCTCTCTGAAATCCTAGAAGAAGTTAATCTCACCTCCCTATATATATATATATATATATATATATATATATGTATGTATGTATGTATGTATGTATGTATGTATGTATGGGCTGGCAAATGACTTTATGGATGAAAAACTGAACATGATTGCAGTTTCTCTGAAGATCTATCCCATGAAACTTGGAGACTGTGAGTAGGGAAAGGTAAGGAAGAAGACGGCTTTAGTGTATTCTTTCAAGTTAAGATTTTTATGCTTGACAAGGACACCACTGTGTCAGCAGGAATATGTCTGCTGTTCTGCCATTGAAATAACCCATATCAAATAAAAAACTCTTACAACCAAAGGCCAGCACCAAAACGATCAAACACAAACAAATACAAAAAGAAAGTCAAGCAATTAATATAGGAGTAATTGAGTCTTCAGGAAACATCATCTGCCACATTCACAGAACTTGGTGACCTTGTAAGTGACCTGAAAGTCCTTATCAGTTAATAGGAAGACTACATAGTAATCATTTGACTGCCTTGGAATTATTACTAAAAAAGAAAAAAGAAAAAAGGAGAAATTAAATTTTGGCCCAAGGCCAAGCAAAATCATATCGTAAACATTTCCTCCACACAAGGGCCCAAATGGTAGGTTACAGGAGTTTTGTGATACTGCCCTACAGCAGGGCAGAGAGAAGGGCATTGCAATGATATTTAGAAGAGACTGCTGGGTAAAGATAAGATGCTGTGACCCCTATCAAATATATCTGGGATCCTATAGAAAGTGGATAGCTGACCCAAAGTAAAACACAGTTCTAAATCCAGAAGGTATTGTATGATCAATTCTTTGGCCTGGTTTATCATCACCATCACCATCATCATCACCTAGATTTTTATCCTGCCTTTTTTAATACTTTAGCCAACTCAAGGTGGCGGACATTCCTAATACTTCTGCCTTCTATTTTCCCCACAACAACAACCCTGTAAGATGGGTTGGGCTGAGAGAGAGTGACTGGTCTAAAGTCTCCCAGCTGGTTTCATGCCTAAGGGAGGCATAAACTGCATAGCCTCCTGATTTCTAGGCCAGCACCTTAACCATTACACTAAACTAGCATTAAATGTAATTTAATGTACTGTACATAAATTAGCTGGGAGTAGGCTATAAGATGCTATTTTCTAGAAAAGGGTCTTCTTCCAGGTGGATTGGAAACTATCACTCAGAGGGAAGTCAGGCAACCTAGATGGAGTCCAGTTAAGTTTATACTAGTTGTTAATTTTTGCTATCCATGCCCTAGTTTCTACTCATGCAAGACCTACTGTAACCTAAGGACAGTGTTAGCAACACATGTGGAGTACCAAATAAAGCTCTGAAAAACTTAGATTGTATGATCTCAAGGGGCCTGAAGTTACTATATGGGCCAAGAAACAACCCCAATGTTATTATTTCAAAGCCATGAGAGAGACTTTGCAAAATGACCTGAACTATAAAATCAGTCTGAAATAAAACTTGTTTCAATCTAGCACAGCCACTTTCAGCCTGATGCATTCCAGATACGTTGCACATTAACTGAAATCTCCGGTTAGTATGCTCAGTGACCATGCTGGTTGGAAACAGGAGTTATAACCCAATCTATATGGTAGGCACCAGGCTGAGTATGTCTTGTCTACCACATAAAGTTAATTGGGAAAAATACAAGCAAAGGCAGATTGCTAACGTTAGTTTATTAAATTGACCTGTTAGCCACTGATGAAAAAGAATTCTTGAGCATACAGATGTATAGTTTGGTCTTGTGTTTCCTATTGTGAAAAGGGACGCTTTGAAGAATTCTGAGTAACTAAGGCATTTTTGTCACTGAAATCCCTGTATTTAGTTACTATCAAATGTCTCTGGAATGTAAGAACTATCTTGCTGGATCAGGCAACAGATCCGTCTAGTCCAACATATGGAGCCATCTAAATCATATAAATACATAATAAATATTATTTTACACTTGTTTACCATGAACTGCATTTGCCATTTTGAAGCCCTTTTACAGAGTTAGTAGAGAAACTGACACGATCCCTTTCCCCTTCTTCACAATCCCTTTTGATATCATGACCCTGGACACTTTAGTATCATCAGCAAACATAGCCACTTCACTGCTCTTTCCTAACTCCAGTTTATTAAAAACCACTGGTCCCAACACTGATCCCTGCGCAATCCAATTTTGCATATCTTGCCAGTTTGAAAATTGTCCATTTTATCAATTGCCAATCCAGGAGAGCCTCTTTTCTTTCATCCCATGGCAACCAAGTTTGCTAAGGAGCTTTACTGAATCTCTGTAACATTAAGACTTCCAAGACAGAAAAAATATACAAAGACATATCCTCAACGAACACTCCATTCCATGTTCTCTCTCCAACAGCCAGTGAGTATGCTGAACTAATAAACATACATAGTGCTCACTGAACTATCTGTTTTTCTTCCAATTTAGTGTGTTCCTCTAGTGGGGAATGCTCCATCTGCCATCTTGCCAATTTTGACACTCCTCCCCCAAACAGACATCTCTTGGTTAAGGCGGGGGGGGGGGAGATTTGGCTCCTAATATACTTAGGAGCCAAACAATTCCTCTTCTTGTTCAGAGGCAGGAGAGTTTTAGCAACACAAGACTTGAATTAATGTGACAATATATAATACAGGTAGTCCTCATTGAACAACCGCTTGTTCAGCGACTGTTCGATGTTACCACAGTGCTGAACAAGAGGGACTTATGAACAGTCCCGGTAGTTGCAGCCATTGAAGCTTTCCTGCAATCATGTGATTGTGATCTGGGTGCTTGGCAACTGGCTCACAATTATGATGGTCACATCTTGTGGTCATGTGATCACCATTTGTGACCTTCACAGCCGACTTCTGACAAGCAAAGTCAATGGGGAAGCTGACAGGAGGTTGCATATCACATTCACGTGGCTGCGGAACACTGAGACCACACAGGATTTGTCTAAGGATGGCCACTGGGACTGCTGCAACTGCTGTTGTAAGTTGGCGTGGTCGTGTGACATCGTGTTTAATGACTGCATCACTTAGCGATGGAGTTGCTGGTCCCAATTGCCATTTTTAAATGAGGACTACCTGTAAACTTTCTTGTTACAATATATGATGGTCTCTTCACTGAAGCCTTAGTACAAATAGCATCAGTATGTATGTATGTATGTATGTATGTATGTATGTATTTATTTATTTATTTATTTATTTGACTTATCCCCGCCCATCTCCCCCCAATGGGGGACTCTGGGCGGTTTACATCAGATTAAAACAAATAAATACATAATTAAAATTTATAAAAAGAGAAAAACACATTTACACAAAATGGAAGGAAGAGAAAAAATCCAAGAGGCCGATGGAAGCAACACCAGGCCTCTAGGGGGCTAGCCAACCCCATTTCTGATGACCTCCCTCCCCACCCCAGGCCAGATGGCAGTGCCAGGTCTTCAAATCCCTCCGAAAGGCCGGGACTGAGGGGGCCTGTCTCACCTCCGGGGGCAAGATGTTCGAAAGAGTGGGGGGTACAGCAGAGAAGGCCCGCCTTCTGGACCCCACTAGTCAGAGTTCTTTTGCCGAGGGGGTCTGGATCATGCCCTCTCTGTGAGATCGGGTGGGACGGGTTGAAATCGTGGGGGTATTCAAAATAGTGCACTTGAACTAAGAAAGTTTTAACTGTGCCGACTGTGTTTATTTTGTTTTATTCTTTATCTGTATCTCAGTTTTAGGATGTTTTATGTTGTTTAATTCACCAAAATAATTTTGGCCAATGGCCAAAATAATGCAATTTCATTTCACTTCAATAAACTGTGTCTCTAGTTAAACTTTCCTTAATACGCACTAGCTCCTTCCTTCCTGGTGTTGTCCCCCACTTCCCGAAATTACAAATCTTCTACTCTATTGGAACATTTCTCTGACTTACTATTTCAGATTACACAGCTTGATGGTGTCCAGATATATTAGCCTACCACTTCCAGCCAATATGGCGGCCCTAATATATCTGAGGTGTCTGCAAAATAGTTCTCTCAATTTTATTTTTCAAATATTTACCCAAAGATTCCACATGTTTTTACTTACCTGGGCACTCAATTCAGAAAAAGTGGTACTTTGATAAGGAAAGGAAGAGTCATCTACAATGTGCCAATGCAGGACATTGAACTTGTTAAAGGCCATGGCATCCTGTGATATGAAAAGCAAGATGGTATTTTAGTGAAGCAATCTACATTCCAAAATAAGTTTATAAAAGTGGGATTTTAAATCTGATTTATGATTTAAATGCCCTCAGTGAGAACACTCTCATCATTGTTTCTCTACCCACTAAATTGTTTCTAGGCCTGAGAGAACTCAATGAAGCAAAGCTTTACATCCAAATGCTATAGACGTTTACAAAATATTTAGTTTTACGTAACTTATTTCAACAAGCAGTTACAGAACCCAAACCTAACGTCCTAAATAAGATAGCTGCCAAAGCAGATATCCATCACAGGTTTTCCACAAGTTGCTGAAATGCATAGGCATATATTAACAATGCAGATGTCTTTTACAGTGGAAGAAAAGAAGAACTAAAGCTAAAGCCAGTTCCCCAAAACTAGATCAACATCAGTTTACTCTTTCTAACCCTTGATGCTGTATTAATAGAGGTCAATGTTAGCCTTCCCCTGCTGTACGGCCAAGGC